CTTTTCTCTACTGCTTATGATTTTTTTTTAAGTAAGCATTTTCTGATGTGTTATTTCTGTAAGAATTTCAGTCTTAATTTTTACAGTTACCACTAAATGGTGATAATCCTTACTATGCTTGTTAATAATTAGGTCAACATTTTCCTCATGTCTTTTTGGACTGTTTCATGTTTTTCTCTCATTCATCAGACAGTCCTTAAGTGCTTATCACATATGTTCTAGAATGCAGGGCAAATAGGTGTGTTCCTGAAGTTTCTGTGTTTTTGTTCTGGTTAAATGGAAAGTGTTTCTGCCTAACACAGTAAATCTTTTCTATCAAACCAAACTTTCCTGCCTGTAACAATATTCTGGTTTATGATCTATTTTTTCCATTTTACGGATGATTTAAAGGATGATATTCTAGGAAAAACAGATGGTTTAATAAAATAGGAGTATTCACTAACCTAATTATTCTGTCAGGTGTTGCTTCATATTTAAAAATCATATTGTCTGTTTTCTTCCATTGGATGTTTCGTTTTGTCTGATTATAGAAACCATGCAAAGCACAACCAAAACCTTTCTGGCCTGCTATTATGACATCATTTATGCCTTTTTTTGGACATATTCATGCAATTTTTCTTAAAAACCTATATGAGCAGTCTATTTTAAAATATGGGTCCCTTGGCTTTCATCACACAAGATCTCGGCCTTATGAGCTTGTTTTAAATAACTCTGATTGAAACTTAAAAAAAAAAAAGTTATAATCTATCCTTTCCCCACTAATTTGATGGCTATCTTATTTAGTTTTAATTGATACTAATATTTCTTCATATTTATGGGGTGTATGTGGTACTTTGTTACATGCATAGACTGTATAATGATCCTGTCAGGCTATTTGGGGGTGTCTATTACCTCAAGCATTTATCATTTCTATGTGTTTGGGGACATTTCAAGTCCTCTGTTCTAGCTGCTTTGCATTATAGAATACATTGTTGTTAATTATAGTCATCCTACTCTGCTATTGAATATTAGAACTTATTCCTTCTATCTAACTGATGATTGTACCCATTAACCAACCTCTCTTTACACCCCCAGCCCAACCCGCCCACCACACCCTTATCTGTCATTCTATTCTCTACCTCCATGCCATCATCTATTTTAGCTCCCCCGTATGAGTGTCTTTCTGTGCCTGGCTTATTGCACTTAACATAATGACCTCCAGTTCCATCCATGTTGCTGAAAATGACATTATTTCATTCCTTTTTATGGCTGAACATTCCATTGTGTGTATATATACCACATTTTCTTCATTTTTCCCTTGATGGAAACTTAGGTTGATTCTGTATCTTTGCTATTGTGAATAACGCTATGATAAACATGGGAGTGCAGGTATCCCTTTGATATATTGACTTCTTTCCTTTGGATAAATACCCAGTAGTGGGATTGCTGGCTCATATTGTAGTTTTATTTTTAGTTTTTTTAGAAATCTTCAATGGCTATTTGAATAACGTAAATATTTTAAAAATCTATTTCTCAACTTCCTATTCTGACCCACTGATGTGTCTATTTCTAAGTCACAGCTGTGGTAGCTCTTTAGTGGCTTTTACCAACTAGGAGGGCAGGTTGCTTCTCATACCTTTTCTAGAATATTTCAGGCTAAATTCATAGATTGATTCTTTTTGTCTTTAACATTTCTTATCACCTGCATTTCCTCTCATCCTTCTGCTTGATCTTTGACTCTCCTTCTAGTGTTTTCTTTAGACTTCCCATTTTCCTATTTCCTCTTTCAGTCCCCAAAACTTAATTTTATTATTGGCCCCTTTTCTTAAAGTTAGTCTTCTTTTTCAGTTAGCTCCTTTTGGATATTCCACTGTCATCAAATAGCCCTGTCCATATTTGCATTCATTACTGCTAAGTGACTTCCCTCCACTGTCTGTATATTGATACTAACACTCTGTTAAACATCTGGGCTTAAAACCCTACCTAAGTCATAGTTGCATCTATTCTCTCTTGTGTCTCCAATCATTGTCTAATTACCACTGATGCTTTTTTAATGAAATGTCTCTTCTGTCTTCCTCCTCCTCCATATTTTCTACCACTACCATATTCTCTAGATCATACCACCTCATACCTAGATCATTGAAACTTCATTCTGACCCTTCCCTTTCTAATTTATTTTGCATATATCTTGTGAGCTTCATCTGATAAGAAAATCTTATATACATACCCACATTAGTCTGTTGGCCTCATTCATTCATTCTTCATTCATCTAACAGATTTTTGAGTGCTCATTATATACCAAGCAAGCTTCCGAGTGCTAGACATGCAAATGTGGACAAAACAGCACATCCTGGTCCTGCTCTCTTGGAACTTACATTCTAATGGTGGGGAGGAGTGAAGAGGGCCTGAGAGGAGACAGAGAAATGAATGAGTTAAGTTTGGTTCTTGATAAAGCCTATCTATGATGGGTAGAGTGTGGGGTACAACAGAATGTTGGTTTAGCTTGGGTGAAGACTTCTCTGAGCTGAGACATGAGGGCAGTTGAGACTCTCCTATCTTTAGGAAAGATAGGAGAGAAGAAAATAGGTAAGAAAGTGTTAGAAAACGTTTTAATAAATGGGAAACTTTCCATGCCTCTGCCAAATTAATAGGTTAGTCTTTATCCATTGCGTCCGGATAAGAAATCGGAATATGAAAAAGTAGCATCTGAAGCATGGTAGGAAAGGGATGAATTATTCACAAATAGAGCAGGGAAAATAGCTGCTGTATATAACGTGTGTGCCTCTTTGCTTGGTTGACTGTTCCTTGAAGACCATTCATGCCTATGGGACAACAATTATGTAGCAAGATATAACTGATGTAGATGAAAAAAGAAAAATGCCACCATTGGAGTATTTCTTTTTCCATTTATTTTTCAGGTTTCTTAACCTGTTGTTCCTATTCTCTATTCAAGATCAGCAAAGAAGAAATTATTTTCAAGGAATTTATTTCTGAAATTTTCCAAAGGATCTATTTATTGGGATGTTAAGATAGTGAGGTCAAGTTTCTGTATTTGATGGTCAGCGATTAAGTCCCAAACCATCTTGATATTTTAGTTTATTAAATATAAGGTGTAAGGAGCAGATCCAGTCCACAGCTTCTAGAGTTTGGCCAAAACGGGCAATCACCAGATAGACAAGAAACAGAAACTAACTATAAGGGAAGAAGGCCCATTATCAGTAAGGATGGGGCATAGTAGGGGGCCCCTAAATTTGGGATAGGGCCTTAAATTTAGTTGTGTTCTTAAAGCAAGGCAATTTTTAGGCTGGGTGTGGTGGCTCATGCCTGTAATCCTAGCACTCTGGGAGGCCGAGGCAGGCAGATCATTTGAGGTCAGGAGTTCGAGACCAGCCTGAGCAAGAGCAAGGCCCTGTCTCTACTAAAAAATAGAAATTAGCTGGCTAACTAAATTAAATATATATATATAAAATATAAAATTAGGCAGGCATGGTGGCGTATGCCTGTAGTCCCAGCTACTTGGAAGGCTGAGGAAGGAGGATTGCTTGAGCCCAGGAGTTTGAGGTTGCTGTGAGCTAGGCTGATGCCACTGCACTATAGCCCGGGCAACAGAATGAGACTCTGTCTCAAAAAAAAAAAGAAACGCAATTTTTAAAAACTTTCAGATTCTTTATTATAGGTTCTTGATTTGGGCCTTTGAAAATCTAAGATTTAACTAGACATTTGAGTTTCTTTAGATATTCTAATGAGTCATCATTCTCCATGTGAGATTACATTAGTTGGTGATCCCTATGGCAACATAAATTTAATTCATTTCTTTCATATTTTGCAAGGGATTTTTTATTTTATTTTTTAGACATGGAGTTCATTATCCACTCTGTCACTGCTTATACAATCATGCATATGTTTGAATAAATCTGATGTTGTGTTAATGTTATGGTTTCTGTTATATGCTTTGTAGGGAAATCTTTATGTTGTTTGTGCCTCTGGTCTGCTTCATCTAAATTTGGCTTGCTAGTTGGCTTTTTAGCTGTAGACATCCTATGATGATGTGTATCGTTTTTAAAGCTGCTTTGCTTTTTTCTGAAATTTTACCCCATGATCCAAACCATCTTGTTGTATACAGGCAAGTCTGTGGCACTTAAGATATTTGCTGAAATTCGTGATTTTTATATTCATACTTCCTGGGGCACTTCTTAAAATTTTTAATAGTTTACTTCCTTGAGCACTTCTTGAAAATTTTAATAGTTTATGATTTTTTTTTTTTTTTCTTCTCAGGGGAAGGTGTCTTAAAACAATTCAATTTTATTAGGGCTGGAGATCTTGTTACCTTTCATGGTATTACAGCAAACGAGTACCCAGTGGACAAATAATGATAATGTTAGAGCTTTTCTTTCAATAATGTAAAATAAACTAGATAGCCTACATTTTAACTGAGTCTGGGGCAAAGTGCTTTATTGTTTTCTGTGTTCCCAGAGTCACGTGATATCTACTAGCTTTACCTTTATTATTTATTTTTTTTTTTTGCAGTAGTTTGCATGACTGACTTATCAGTGTCACCAGGACTGAAGTAAATATTGATTTTTCGATGAAGGTGTATTGAAACAAATACTGTACTTAAGATGACAGCCCTCCAATAAATAATTATCAAGCATATACTCTGAGTAAAGAACTTTTGCTAGGTGCTCTGCAAGATTCAGAAATAAGTCAGATGTGGCTCCTGACATTAGGAATCTTTGAAGCTGTGTGGGAGATTGTACCCTTATGAAAAGGAACCTCCAAAATGATCTGCATGGCTTTGCTTGGGGAAGGAGAGGGGCTACTCACTTTACTAAGGGTGCTTCATCATGGGCCTCAAAGTTGAAATGCATTCACTGGTTTAAAAAAATTGTTTAAAACAACTAGTATAAATACTAGTTGGTTATATTTAAAGACTGTTTTTTAAGTGTTTATGCTTGTTTAGTTTTTTTTATCTGAACTTTCCTTCCATTTGTTAATGTAAACTCTTATTATTTTCTCTCCAGTTTAATAGAAAATGGTCAGTTTGAAATTGTGACAGGTGGCTGGGTTATGCCTGATGAAGCTAATCCCCATTATTTTGCCTTAATTGATCAACTAATTGAAGGACATCAGTGGCTGGAAAATAATCTAGGTATGTATTGGTATCTTTCTCCTTCATTTGAGCTATTCTGGGCAATTAATTTGGGGGAATGTGAAGTGAGGCTCTATTTTTTCAAATAACTAATTTTCTCATAATAATTACTGATTATTATTGAATAACTTATCCTTTGTTAATTTATGATGTTTCTTAGATCATAAACTCAGTTATATAGATATGCTACAGTCACTTAGGGTCATCTACCTTGTTTTGTATATTATTTTCTCTGTATTTTTATTAATTTGAGAATTTTTTTATTTGGGATTTTAATTTTTTATTAGTTACAACTCTTGATCATATGAGGCAAAAACCTCGTTTATTAGCTTTAAGTAAAAAAAAAAGGAAAGAAATATAGTTATGTCATGAGGATTCCATACAGATGTACCTTCAGGTATGGCTGGATCCAGGGGACTAAAATTATGTTGTCTGAGCACTGTCTGTGGGCTCTGCTTCCTTTTGCTTCAGTCTTCTTAATGGCTTTCTTCACATGGTGAATAAGATGGCCCTAGGCAGCTGAGACACTCATATTCCCAGTCTAGCAACTAGGAGAAGGAGTTTTCCTTAATACTTTATTTGATTGGCCCAGCTAGGGTCAAGGGCTTATCTCTGAGCCAGTTACTATATCCAGAGGTCTGGGAACTGAAATCACCGAGGCCTAGTCATTTTGGTGGACGTGGTCCTGTGGTAGAGGGAATAGTGGAGGTCAGGGTCAGCTGCACTTAAACTGTGAACGGACACATGGAATAGGTTCAGTGCAGTAGCAGAATTCTGTTGCCACAAGAAGTAGGAAAAAGTATACTAGACTGATAAAATGCAGATGTCCACTACAACTTGTAAAAACTTGGGACTAACTGACATCTTTGTGATATCTACTATTTGCATTCTGTAACATGGTATGTAACTCTTTTCAAGTATTAATATTTCATATCTCAGTTTAATTTTGTCATTTTCTTTTTGGTAAGTACACATGTTTTTATTGAAGTTAATTTTAGATAGTTTATTATTTAAAACATTTTTTCTATTACGAATAAAATCCTCCACTCCCATGTATTTTTTTTATTTGGAAATAATTTCAAATTCAAAGAGAATTTATAAGAATACTACAAAGAACTCTCATAAACTTTTCTCCCCGATTTAGCAATTATTAGCATGTTAGCACATTTGCTTTATTTTTTTCTCTTTCCATATTATTGTGATGGTGGTACAGATTATTATTATTGAAACCATTTGAGTGCAAGTTGCAGATACCATGCCTGTGTAGAAAAGAGTTAACATATTAGCAGATCTGAGACTGTTACCCTTGTAAAGTTCTTGCTTGCAAGGTTGGCACTTGGTTGGCATCTCTTGGGACTTGGATTTCCTAAATGATAAGAGTAGCCCCACACTGTTTTTAAAACTTTTGTGCAAACAGTGTAGTTCATGCTAAATATTTGCTTTCCTTCTGGGAGTCTGGTATCTTAGTACACGCACTAGGCAGAGGGTTCCTACATAACCAGCCCCCAGTAGAAACCTTGGGCACTGAGTCTGTGATGAGTTTTCTCTGGTCAACAGCATTTCACATGTATTGTCACAATTTGGAGCTGGAGGAATTAAACGTATCATGTGTGGCTCCATGTGGAAAGGACTCTTTAGAAGCTTATTCCCTAGTTTCCTCTGGACTTACTCTATGTGCCTTTTCCCTTTGCTGATTTTGCTTTTCATCCTTTCACTGTAATAAATCATAGCTGTCAGTACGAAAATATGCTGAGACTTATAAGTTTTCTTAACAAATCACCAAACCTGGACATGGTCATAGGGACCGTCTATACAGTCCCTCTTTTCTTAAACACTTAGCTATGTTCTAAGCCAAGAATATTTACTTTATCAACCTCAGTTATGGATTTTTTTTTTATGTTCAGCTTTTATTGAAGCATAATTTACGTGCAGTGCAATATGTAAATCTTAAATGTAGAGTTAAATGAGTTTTGGCAAATGTATGTACCCATTTTCACCACATTTTTTTTACCCTGAAAGATCTCTCATCCTCTGATCTCTCTGTGCTGCAGCCCCTGCTTTTTGATTTATATCATTGTGGATGAGTTTTGCTTATTTAAGAACTACTTAATATATGGACTCACATAAGATACATTCTTTTGGATTTCCTTTCTTTTGCTGAGTATCATTTTTTTTTTTTACAGCTTTATTGAGATATATTCACATACCATAAAACTCACCCATTTGAAGTATACAGTCTGGTGGTTTTTAGTATATTCACAGAGTTATGTAATTATCACAACAGTCTCCTTTTAGAACTTTTTAAACATCTCTAAAAGAAATCTTATACCCAGTATGTATGAGATTTTTACTTTTTCTATATCTTCACCAATGTTTGTTATTTTTTTTTTTATTGTAGCGTATCGCAGTGTGTGAGAAATGGTATCTTTTGATTTTCATGTTTCTAAAGACTAATGATGTTAAGAATCTTTTCATGTGTATATTGGTTACTTATGTATCTTCTTTGAAGATGTATCTCTTCTAATCTTTTTCTTTGTCTTTTTATTATTGACTTGTAGGAGTTCTTTATATATTCTGGATAAAAGTCCCTTGTCAGATAATGATTTTCAGGTTTTTTTTCCATTCTGTGGGTTGTCTTTTCCTTCCTTTGAAGATGTCTTTTGATGCACGAAAATTTTAATTTTGATGAAATCCAGTTATCTATTTTCTCTTTTGTTGCTTGTGCTTTTGATACCATAGTAAGAAACCATTACCTAACCCAAGATCCCAAAGATTTATTCCTTTATGGTTTATTTTTGGACCCTCAAGTTTATTCTATTGATTTAAATGTCTCTTTACCATACTGTCTTGATTATTGTAGCTTTGTAGTCAGTTTTGAAATTGGAAAGTGTGAATTCTCCATCTTTGTTCTTTTTTAAGCTTGTTTTGACTGTTCAGGTTCTCTTGATTTTTTTTTTTTTCCTCACATGAATTTTAAACCAGTTTTTCAGTTTCTGCACAGATACCAGCTGGGGATTTAGGTAGTGATTATGTTGAATCTGTAAGTCAATCTGGGGGAATATTTCCATCTTAACAATGTCATGATACATTAACATGGGATGTCTTTGCATTCATGTAGATCTTCTTTAATTTCTTTCCATAATCTTTTATAGCTTTTAGTGTAAAAGTCTTACCCTTTTTAGTTAAATTTGTTCATAGGCATTTTATTTGTTTTGCTGACACTCTAAGTTATATGGGACTGTATTCTTAATCTCATTTTAGAATTATTTCTAGTATATAGAAATCCATTTAAGTTTTATATAGTGATCTTATATCCTATCACAGCATAAAGCTTTTGAGATTTGTTTTTGTTGTATATGTTAGTAATCCATTCCTTTTTATTACTGGGGTAGTATTCCATTGTTCAGTTTCCTGTTGGTGAACATTTGGGCTGCTTCCAGTTTGGGGCTATTATGAATCATGCTGCAATAAACATTTGTGCACAGGTCCTTTTGTGGGCATATGTTTTCATTCTCTTGGGTAAATACTGGGAGTAGAATTACTGGGCTGTAGGCTAAGTATATGTTAAGTGTATGTAAACTTTGAAAGAGTTTTCCAAAGTGGTTGTATTATTTTATATTCACCAGCAATGAATTGAAATTCTGATTGTTCTACATTCTTACCAACATTTGGTGTTGTCAGTCTTTTTTCTTATAACCATTCTGGTGGGTATATAGTGATATTTCATTGTTTTTATTTGCGTTTCTGTGATGATTAATGGTATTGAATACTTTTTCTTTTGCTTCTTGGCCAGTGGTATATCCTATTTTGAAGTTTCTAAATCTTTGCCCATTCTTTTCAATTGTGTTGTCTTTTATTTTTGAGTTGCAATTCTTTGTATGTTCTGAATATGAGCTCTTTGTTACATATATTTTATGAATGTTTTCTCTATGGTTGTTTATTTGTTTCTAGTGGTATCTTTTTCATTTCTTTTAATCATTTTATACTGGTATATAAGAAAAATTTTGATGTGCATGTATGTGTATATGTGTGGTATAAGTGTATAAATCTCCTAAGTAGCAAGTTTCATTTTATTATTTTTCATTTTATTATTAATATTTTATATAATTTCTTATTGGTTATGGTAAGTATGTACTATCATCTTTAAAAATGAAAATTATCATATCTTTTTAATTCTTAATATTCTTTAGACTATGTATCTGTTTGATATTTTATTGCATAGATCAAATCTGCTATAGTAATGATCTTCCAGATTTTTAGTGGAAATTGTTTAGCTATTCTATGCTAAGTATTATCTAGGATTTTATGGTAGGTGTTTTTTATAGTGTTTAGAAAATTGTTTTTCTTGTATTTTTCAAATAGCAATAAGTATTGAATATTACTGGATTTCTTTCAGAATCTGTTAATATTGCATTTTTTAAAATTTACCCTATGGATGTGACAGCAGTTTGCTCAATTAAAAAGTCATTGACTTCCTGGGATTAATCCCTTTTGGTTTTGTTGCTGTTGAGTTCAATTTGTTCAATGTTTTTGTTTAGGAATTTTATATCCATTTTCATAATTAAGATTGGCTTTCTTTTTTAATATACTATATTTACATGTATTTTTATTGGTTTATGTTACTTAATAAAATGAATTGGGTAACATTACATCCTCCTTTGTATTCCATGACAGTTTGTGGGCATTGGAAAGAATTTACTCTAAAATTCTAGGCCTACAGGGTCTTTTAATGGAGGTAAATTTTTTTGGTAATACTAAAAATTTCTCCACAGTCATTGATATAATTTAATTGACATATAAAATGTTAATTATATTATTTTATCAGAAACCCAGCCTTCTTACCAACATTTTAATGATTTGGAATATAAAATAAAAATTGTGTATGATTCTTTGTTTTAAACAGTATTTTGTTACACAAGTGATGTACACTTAATGTAGGTAAACAGGAAAAAATAATACGTGTTAGTAGAAAGTAAGGAAAAATCCTATACCTACTGTTCAGAGATTACTGTATTGTGATATATAACATTATAACATTCTGGATTTTTTCCATATGTATACTTAAACACAGATTAATTTTATTCCACAAAAATGGGATTGAATTTAGAAAAATTTTTTCATTAGATATATTAGAAGCATAGTATAAGTGTTTAAAACTATCTGTTTTCTCCAGTTTTCTTTATGGCCTTTTTATTTGATTGTTAGTCTGCTTTATTTTTTAAAGATCAGCTCTCTTTTTTTTAAGCCAATGTAAGTATTTTGTGTTTCTTCATCCTGCCTTATCTTTGTTTTCTTCCCCCTTCTTTCCTTCCGTCTGTGTTTTTCTCCTCAAGACATTGGTAAGGGGTACATGGCTAACATATACACACTGTGGCTCGTTTATTCTCTTTCTACAAACGGAAAGTGAGTGGGAGGGAGCATTTCTTGAGACAGTGCGCCCATCCATCTCGCTCAGGCTGTGGACTCAGAACAAGCAGACTGCTGAAATGCAGTTGGTGCTCACTTTTGCACAGGGCTGTGGCAGTGTGGCAGTGCTGGCCTTTGATGTGGCCCGGGGTGTCCTCATGGCTCTTAGCAGCAGCCGTAAGAGGTACCTTGCTGCTTCACTCTCTCTTGCATCCCAAACAGTGAACACGCATAAACCACATTTACAACATCATAAAACTGTTCGGTTAGAGTCCTACAGATGTCAAAAGGTGAAATTTCAACAAATTAAGTTTAAAGATCGAATTGGCTTTTATCGGTGATTCATGAATAGGGCAGCATCACATCTAAGGAATGGAAAGGCTGAGCAGAGCAGAGGAGAGGTGGGCTTTGTAGGCAGAAAGGGGCTGAAAAAGAAGAAACAGGGAACAGAAACTAGATTAGTTGTTTTAAAGTTACTTTCCTTAAAGGGTTAAAACAGAGGAGATTTCCTTATCATGCTGGCTCAAGTAGACTGGGCCCCTTTGACTGGTTGCTGTGAGTGTCCTGTGTTTTTGAAAACTGGAACATATTAAAATTCAGTTTGGTTATGTGGCACCCAGCACCAGAGACTGAATTCTGGTTTGGTCTGGTCTGTTGGGCCAAGTGCAAGAGCTTAGTCCAATACAGTGGCCTCCTGTAAATTTTATTTAACACAGGCTTCTGCTAATGAGTGACTACATGTTCCATAAAGCTGAGAAAAGCCAGGTTCAGGGGGATTTTTCTCAGGGGGATTTTCCCCTAACTCAGTTACTGTCTATTGTTCTAAAGATAATGAACACATCAAAGTATATGAAGTTTCTTCCTATTGTAGCTTTGGCTGCATCTTGTAAATTACAGTAGTGATCTTGATTTTGTTCTCTAAATTTAGAACACCTATTATTTTAGAGACTTCATTTTTACATTTGGTTATGAGATGCTTTTTTACTTGTTTAATCTTTGTTGATTTCTGTTTTTGTAGACTTCATTATAAAATTTAATCATTATAACTTTTTTGACTAAAAGCTTGTCTTTTGACTAAAATATCCATGTTACTGATATGTTTCCTGATTCCTCTAAAATAATAATAGCAAATGTACTTAGAATAATCAATTTTATTAATTATTTTCATACTACCCATGTTCTAATTTTTAAGCCTACTAGATTTGCCAAGAATTGACTGGTATATTTATTCTTTTTAATGATTGTTTTTCTTATATTTTTAAGTTTTTACTTTTATATATTTTGATAATCTTATTCTTACATGAAGGCACAGAATCTTTTTGATGATTTTTCCTAGTTTTATTGACATGTTTTATTGACAAATTTTGGATTTTTCTTATATTGGACTTTTCCCTAAATTAACCCTTTATTTCCCTTTAAAAAAATATTATTTGCTTCATGTTGAGGAAAACCCTAGCAAGACACTGGATTGCTTTACAAGTCACTCCCTAGCTCTCACCTCCTTTCATATCAAAGCTTTAAAAAATATAGTTTATATCCTCTCTTTTCTACATTGTTACCTCTCAGGGATTCTTTATTCCATTGCAGCTTGCTAGGTTGGTACCTCTGTGTGTGGATCAAGAGATTTTGATGTGGAAAAGATTGCCAGTGTTGCTATAATTGTTAAATTGAATGGACACTAAGCTGTGACATCACTGTAGCATTTGATGTTGATTTTTATCTTGTTTGTAAGCTTATTCTGTCCTTGTTATATGAAATACCACTCCTTTTTTATTTGATAACTTAATTTTGATATAATTTCAAATTTATAAAAAGTTGCATGACACTACTTGGGAAGGACTCCCATATGTCCTGTCCATAGGTCCATATGCATGTTTTTCTGAACCATTTGAGAGTAAGATGGAGATACCGTGTGCCCTTATCTCTAGATACTTCATTGCATAATTCCTAAGAAGCAAGGACACTTTGATATATAATCAGAATACAGTTATCAAATTAAGAAGATTAATAGTGATACAATACAACAGTATAGTTCACACAATGTATTTAAATTTTGTCAGTTGTCTCAATAATGTCTTTTGTAAAAGCTGCTTTTTTTTTGTTTCCCAGTCCAGGATCCAGTCCAGGGTCACATGTTGCATTTAGTTTCATGTATCTTCCGTCTCCTTTAATTTGGAACAGTTCCTTGGCCTTTCTTTGGCTTTCTTGACTCTTATATTTTTAAAGAGTACAGACCAGTTTCGTAGAAAGTCTCTCAATTGAGTTTGTCTGTTTCCTCAGGATTAGATTCAGGCTATTTATGCATCCCTCCTGTCTGCGTATCTTGCTGCAATGTCACTGCAGTGGTTTCCCTTGTCCTCAGTGCATCATATCGTGAAGCATATGGTGTCCCTCTGCCCCAGTATTGCTAATACTAGGCTTGAAAATTTGATTACGGTGTGTCTGCTAACTTTTTTCCCTGTCCTGTTAATTTTTCTCTTTTCTGATGAATAATTTGTGGGAGATATACTGAGACTAGGTAAATATCCTATTCCTCCACAAACTTTCATGTTTTAGTTTTAGCATTCATTGATGACTTTCTATTCCCACCATTCCTTCTATAATTGTTAGTTGGCATTCTACTACAGGAAGAGCTTTCCTTTTTATCTCCCGTTTATTTATTTATATCAGTATGGGCTCATGGATTGTCACATTCACTGGGTTATAATCTAGTACTATTATTATTTATTTTGCCATCCTTAAGTTGTCTCAGATTTGCCCAGTGGAAGCTCCTTTTACTCGTCTCCTGAGATATTTTACAGTGTCCCCATGATTCTTTTACCATTTCTTTACTTTATGAACCAAGAATGTGTTCCAGGCTTATCATGCACTTTCTTGGCTTCAGCTCTGGAATAAGCCATTTCTTTCAGTGATTTTTAAAGAAGAATGGTATCTAGAGGCCAAGCTCTGGGAGCTAAGGTGAGCTCACTGGTACTGAGGTGTTATTGCATTTAAGTCCTCCTAGTGCACTGGGTTGGAAAATGAGTGTGTGTGTGTGTGTGTGTGTGTGTGTATACACATACAGATATCTGTATCTATATTTTGATACCTATTTGTTGAAAATCATTAACTTAGTAGTGATATCTTCTATCCCATCTCAGTATCACAGAGCATATTCCAGTCTCACATTCCCATGTTTGTAGTTACTTGTCTTACAGTGAAAATCCTGGCTCCTTTGTTCTCATTTGTTCATTTCTAGAATACACTAAAGCTAGTTTCAGAGTTGTTAAATCTCATATCACCACGAAAAACAAAATTACTAAATAGAGTCCAGTATTTCTTTACAAGTTTTGGAGGTAAATTACATGTGTGAAATGCACAGTTGTATGGTCGGTTCTTTGAGTTTTGACACATAACTCTTTGCGTTTCGACTCCACGCTCTTGGTCCTACATGGGTCCTGACTTTTCCTTCTCAGTCTCTTTGGCTGGCTTCCCCATCTCTGTGTCATGCTTCAGTATTGCTCTACAGAGTTCTCTCTGCTGACTTTTGTGTTACTTTGTGTTGCATCTGTTTGAATGAAGTCTTTGCAGCTAGCGTCAAGATCTCAAGATCAGGATTCACTCGTTTTCTGTAACCCTAGGATCTTTCATAGTCTTAAGCATGTGGAAAGGTGTCAAATAGATGTTTGAATGAAAAAAAATGCACACGGCAATATTACTTATGTTGATTTATAGATTGTAAGTAGAAGCCTTATTTGAGAATACCGAATAACTAAAAGATCAGATTCGTATACTGCTAGATGAATAATCTTATTTTATTAATTCTAAACTGTATATTTATTATTTTATTTTTATTTTTTTACATTTTATCCTTTGTGAAATTGAGATATATCTGTAGTTGATGGCTGTTATCATTAGTATGAGGCAGCTGTAAAAAAATTGTACTGATTCCTTTCTAGGTAGAGAGAAAGTGCCAGCATCAAAATAATATTTTAAGATTTAAAGAAACATGGTACAGTTATTTTGGCCAGTTCTGCCACTATATAATAAGATGATTTGGGCTGTTTGTAAGGTATGAAATATAAACTAAAAAATCCATAATGTGGAATTTGGGAAATATAAGTTGAAATGAGTTAGATTACTTTTGTCACATAACGGTGCTGGGAGTATTTGGCAAAGGATAATGCTAGTCAGCTCCTTTGTGTTATTACCCTAGGAAATCCTAGAACTCTGGTGGGTCTCATGTGTTGTAACTTCTTTTTATTTCATTTATCAATTTTAAAAAATAACACTTATCTTATTTATCAACAGGAGTGAAACCTCGGTCCGGCTGGGCTATTGATCCTTTTGGACATTCGCCAACAATGACTTATCTTCTAAAACGTGCTGGATTTTCTCACATGCTTATCCAGAGAGTGCATTATGCAATTAAAAAACACTTTGCATTGCAGAAATCATTGGAGTTTTTTTGGAGACAGAATTGGGGTATGTAGAGTTTGATGAAAGTTGAAGATCCCATTTGACCTCCATATTATTTCACAAGGGTTATGAACTCATGCCATTGTGGATTATATTCAGTGTCAGTCTTGAAAAATCAGGTTGTTTGAAGGTACTCTTAAACTTATTTTTCCAATGTATTTGTGTCAAGATTCTATTAACCAATAATGCTGATATTTACCTAGAGAACACAGTAAAAAATTTTTAATGACTAAAGGAAGTTAATAAATATAAGGAGCTAGTATTTGCCAAATAATGCTTTTACTTCTATTTTAGAAAGAATGTTCTATCACAAAGTTGAACCTACTTTAGGACTGATATCCTGTCATTTAATCTTATATTCACCCAGTGTTCCTTCTTCTGTCTCTCTTGTCTCTACCTCTTGTAGGAATTGCCTTTTGAAACCTAACCCTGTCTTCCTAAAACAGCCCTCACCTGTTTTAACACTGTGTTTTGTGAGCACCTAGGTGTTCCAAGGACATACTTCTGGGTACCTCTTTGTTAGGGGAGAGAATACAAGGTTTAGGTCTTCTTCCTTTGTTCTTCCAGTTCTCTCTTTTACTCCCTTCCTCTCTCCTCGCCCAACCTCTGCAGCTAATGTAATGATCTCTGTGTGTCTTGTTACCTGGCAGCCAAGGATGGACATGGCCATGATTTTGGATAAGCTGGTTGTATCTTTTACTTCTGCTCAGTTTGTATCCTTCCAGGTCAGCAGATGCTGGTTCCTGGTGGGGCTTTTCTGTCTCTGCCATATCTACATAAAAGAGGTAGATAGAAACTGAGATGTATATCTTCCTTCAGACTGGTTGCATTCAATACTGCTGGGATATATGTACTGGAAGTTAAAGGGGCTGTTGATTTAGGGTAGAGCTTATATTATATATGTATAAAATAACAGCATTTTGAATAGCTTTTGGGAAAACAGATTTTATAAATGCAGGTTTGTGTGTTGGCTCTTTATTTCAGATCTAGGATCTGTCACCGATATTTTATGCCACATGATGCCCTTCTACAGCTATGACATCCCTCACACTTGTGGACCTGATCCTAAAATATGCTGCCAGTTTGATTTTAAACGGCTTCCTGGAGGTAGATTGGGTTGTCCTTGGGGATACCCCCCACAAACAATACATGCTGAGAATGTCCAAAGCAGGTATGAAAATATGTGTTTCATAAGACAACATCTTGCATAAAGTAGCTACTCAGCTACTAGTTGCTGAAGGGTTAAACAAATGGGCTTCAGTAGCTAACATTATCCTTGTTCAAGGTATTCATTCAAACCAGATCTAAAGCAACTAAAAACCAACCAGAGCCTTCACTGTACCTCTTATGTGTTACAGTTTAATGGAAACTGAACAATAGTAGATCAATATGCAATGGATTACTTATAATGCATTATTATTACCATCTCCCTTGCCCTCATTATAAAAGCCTTCTACTGTATTTGATTGATTTCATGTACTGTTGTTGATAATAAAACTTCTGGTCCCTATTGAACAAATTGGTGAGAAAAGCAACCCAACTGCAAAAAACACATTTATTGAAATGGAACACATAAAGAGTATAATTATCTGTTCCCTTAATAACAATTTCAATAATGGTGAGTGCCGCCCAGCTCTGATAAATACACATCTTTGCATCGTTATGATGTTTTTGACTTACGGAAAACTTTAATTAAGAATATTTATACTTAAATGCATTTAAATAAAAATCAAAGGAAGGAATCATTGCTTTAGAAGAAAATTGTGCTAATGATGGAAGCATCTTATTAAACCAAGTTACCTATAGTTTCTAATATTGGTGCTTTTGAAGTTTAATTTCTTCACTTAAAAATTAGTGGTGTATAATTCATGAAAATAAAATATTGTGTTGTAATGTAAAAACACTAAACTGTGCTAGGAAAATAATGTAGCCTTTTAAATTAAGATTTTTGCACTATCAAATTATTTTATTAAAAAAGTTACTTTTTTCTTTTTAAAAAAATGAATCTTTATCTTTTTCTTTAAAGTTTTATTTTTAAATTTTTACTTTAGAGACAGGGACTTGCTATGTTGCCCAGGATGGAGTACAGTGGTGCAATCATAGCTCACTGTAACCACAAACTCATGGGCTCAAGTGATCCTCCTTGGAGTCACTAGGACTACAGGTGTGTGCCACCACACCTGGATAATTTTTTTTTTATTTTTCGTAGAGACAAGGTCTCCCTATTTTGCCTAGCTGGTCGTGAACTTCTGGCCTCAAGCCATCCTCCTACCTCGACCTCCCAAAGTGCTGGTATTATAGGTGTGAGCCACCATGCCTGGCCGAGATTGGATTTTTTCACCTTGAATGAGTCCTTGTAATTATAAAGGAAATATTCCAATATGAGGCTCTCCCTGTGACAGACATGAAAGCGTGTTAGCATGGCAGCCTTTCTCTCAAAATCTGACTTTCATAGTTGTTTTGAAAAACGATCCAAGGTTTCATTTTCTTGGTTCCTACAAGAACCAATGAGGAACAGCTAGCTTTCTAGCTAGGGTCAGGCTAGGTAGGCATAAGAGAATAAGCCAGTATGTTATATAGCAGAAGGTGCAGTGAAAAGGAGGGGGCGAGGGTGGGAGGACCCTTGCCTGTCTACTGGGGGGGGGAAGCTATTTGTATTTACAGGTATTTATACTACTCCTCTCAGCCAGGTGGTCAGGAATGGGGAACATCTTTAAGGTTAGCCAGATGTTTCAGTTGAGAAGTCTCAGTGCATCCATAGGTATTGTGAGCCTCTCTTTCTCTCTTTGGGTGCCACTGAGAGTACCTGTTTGAGGCATATTATTGGGGGGAAAAGGAATTTTTTGTAATCCTTTTCCTATCTCATCTAGCCCTTCAGTGATTGCCCCTCAGGTTCATACCTTGTGCTCAGTGAGTTCCAGTGATTTTGAAAGTGGTTTCTAGGCACCTGGGGGCACATACACACAGGTGAATGAATATGTGTAATACTTACATAGATTTTTTTTTTAAATTTCTTACAAGTCTTGAAATTTTTACTGGTTAATTCACTTCTAAATATCACTGTCTTTTTGACCTGGTGATGAATGGAAATAAAACATAGGCATTCCAGCTCAGTGGCACCTTTCAGCTTTCTAATACCCTAAAGAAAATGAGATTTAACTATAATATACAGGTGGCATCTTTCGATATGTACAGTTCAGCAAGTTCCTCCATTTTGCAAATAAAGAAATATCATCCTTCAACAAGTTCATTGTTGGTTGAGTGCTATATATTTTAAGTTGGCTTTTCCCATTGAATGTCAGATGATTTGATATTTTAGGGATTTTTTTTTCTTGGTTATAGTTGACATTTCTTACCTGGTAGAATAAATCAAGAGCAAATTCTATCTGCGTGTTTTCAATGAGATGTTGATCAATTGATTAGTCATGAGTTCACTGAATATATGGTGAACTACAGGTGGCCTTCCCAGTGTTGATGCTTACTGAACAGGAGCAAGAGGGTTAGCATAGATGCCAAATGTGAAAAGCATGTCATTAAAATTTGTGATTTCCTTTCTGTGTATGTGCTTTATGTGTATAAACACAAGGTATGGTATTAGGTCTAGTAGTAACCCCTTTTCCCCCCAGGCTGCCTAGGAAATCTAGTTGGATGCTCAATCATAGTATATTTTGTATATGTGGTTTATATATTTTATTTTTTTACTGATTTTTGGGGTCTTATTTCTATATGATTAATCTCATTGTTCATGCATTTTTAATGAAAAAATGTACAAAAAAGGTAGATTTATAACCTAAATGTACTTTTGGTAAATGTAGAATGTTAGTATATCACCAGTAAGTATTAAGTAACATGCAGAATGCTAACCTCAGAAAAGTAAACATATGTTTTATAAGAACACTAGTTATGTTTTACTTACCATGCTATTATTGATAAAATCGGTAAAAAGTTATTGATAAAATTTAAATTTGCAAAGCAATTTGAGAAACAATGTATAGAAAGACCATATGAGATTCTAATTTTAGTTAAAATTTTTTTCTTATAGAATGCCTCTTTCCATCATTGATGTTTTCTGAGTTATTTTTATACATTTTTATATTGTGAATTAGAATTTACTTTTGGATAATTCTTGAAGTGAAAATTCATTGAATTTGAATTTGAATACTGAATTAAAAAATATTTGTCATTTATTCACTCATTTCTTAAGCTTTGGCTTTATAAACACTGTGAACTACTCTATGTTCATCTGTTTGTTTAATTTCATTTTCACAAGCCCTCCCTCTTAGTTTGTTTTCCCAGACTTCCTTAAATGACTTCCCAATTCAGCATTTTCCAAAGGGTATTCTGCAGAGTACTAGAATATGAAATATAAAAGCTGTTCTATCACCTCAGCACATTGCATTTAGCTGATATTTTGAGTCATGGGTTAGGGCCCAGGGAGGTAGAAACCAAAATAGCTAATTCAACTCCTAAGCTTTATCTGATGATCAGTGCTGAAAAGGGCACCGTGACAAATATAGATTGTTGGTGGCAAGAGTTAAGTGAGTTGATATTTTTCCTTGAGAAGAAGAAATATAGTTCTATAAAATGTTATAGATTAAGATGTGTTCATTCCTTTTGGTTTTGTTCAAAATATACTTTTTTCTATGTTTAATCAGGCAATATTAGATTAGAGAAATGAATATTATGGCAAAGCAAACTTCAAAGTTTATGTAGGTGATAAGCCCTTATTGTCTTCTTGGACTAAATTATTTTGGAACGTGGGCTATCTGGGATCCAGTCTCTGTGGTTAGGCGTCAGGAAGACATTGATGTCCTAATAATTATATGCCAAAGTTGGAATGTGACCATATTTCTCTAAAGATAATCCATTGGAAATTATAAGTTTTTCCCTCTGATAAGAATTTATGAATATTTTAAGTGGTTAATGAAAATTAGAATGGTAGCTTAAAAATGTGCTTTTAAATCATACTAAACCTAGACTATAGATAAAATATACTATAATTTCATTGAATATAATACACTTTTGAATTTAGTTATTTCTTTTTTAATGAGTTGCCCTGCTGGCCTTTTCTTAATCTAATTCATATTTTCCTTTTTTCTTTTGTAGAGCTTCATTGCTTTTAGATCAGTACCGAAAGAAGTCAAAGCTTTTTCGTAGTAAAGTTCTCCTGGCCCCACTAGGAGATGATTTCCGCTATTGTGAATACACAGAATGGGATTTGCAGTTCAAGAATTACCAGCGGCTTTTTGATTATATGAATTCTCACCCTCACTTCAACGTAATGGTAATGAGAAAACATTGATTTGTGATACAGTATTTGAGATGAGCCTGCATTATTAAGTTAAAGCTATAACACAAATTCTTAGTCTTTGATCTCAGTATTTCTTATAATATATAATTCCTATGTGAAAGTATCATTCATTAAGAAGAAAATCATTGCATACTGTAGTCCCATTTCTAAAGTTGTTCCTTTCCTACCACTCCTTAAGGATTACAGAGGAATTGCTTTTATGTGTATATACCTACTAAATTGTGATGTTTATTTTTCAGGGATGTTCTGTTTTTCTACCAGCATTGAAAGTTTGTTGTTTCTCTCTGGCAGTTGCATCCTTGTGATTTAGTAGAGTGACTGGCAGATGTGACGAACATGTCATGAATTTTGCAAACAAATACCTTATGTCCAGAGAATACACTAGCATTTTTCTTAAGTGAGAAGACTTTTAAAATTAATCATGTCCCTCTGGTTCTTACTCTTTTTTTCCCCCCCCCATGGAAAATTTAAAACGTAGCCTAAAGTTTTGAGAGCTGCAGAAATGTCCTTTTCTCCCCATCTCCGTGGCTCAGTTACGCATTCATCAACTAGAGATTACTCTTGCTTCAGCTGTGTTTTGCTGCTGTCTCTCCCCTTCCTCCGGATTACATTGGCACGAATCTCAGATGTCACGTAGCTTCATCTATAACTATTACCTCTAAATGATAAGGATTCTGTTTAAAAATACACTCAAAATACCATGAGCACAACTAAAATATTAACAATAATTTGAGAATATCATATCTGCATAGATTCGGATGAGATCTGGATTTTCCTGATCTCAGTTTTTTAAAACAAAGCCTTGGTTGGGGCCAAAATCAAAAAAAAAGCAAAAAATGCAATTGGGCAAACCAGCCTTTTAACTAAATAAAAAAATGAATTTTTTAATGAAAAAAAAATAAAAAAAATTAAGGGGGGAACGGGGTAACCTGAATCCTGAAGACAAGATGCAAAAAGAAAAAAACAAGATATAGAAAAACCAACAACCTGAACAATTAACAATTTTTTTGGGGGGAAAACATAAGTCTTTCTTTTCTTTTCTTTTTTTCCTTTTTTTTATTTCCCCAGTTCCAGAATGCAGAGACAATAAGTCTTTTAAAAATGCGTATTAGAAACCCTATATAAAAAAAATAAATTATTCAACATGTTTAGTATTTCACACATTAGCCTGTAAGACATTAGAAGATTTGTGAAAATAGTGATACTATAGAAATTACATGATGATTCTGTGTAGGAAATTAGAAAGCTGATGACAGACTACAGTTTATGTAGTAAGAATTCAAGTTTTCAAAATAAATTTAAATAATATTAAATAGATATTAATGAATAAACAAAATATCAAGTTTACGCAAGTTATTTACAATAGAATTTTTGCCAGCTTATGAACTCTGAGCGTAGGAGCTATGTGTAAATTATCTCTGTATTTTCTTCAAAGCTCACACATGGATATTTGATCAGAGCAGGAGGTATGGTATGCATGGGAGTGTCTTACCTCTAAATACATCTTACTGGGGAATGGTTTTGGAGTCCATAGAAGTGCCTGGTCTCCTGCCTGACTCTGAAAAATTAGATTCTGATTTTAGTATTTTACCTATTTCCTCCTTTGCCCACTAAAACAATATTTTTATAGTAGTTTTAAAAATCGAAGTATCACATATAGCAGAGGTGCATGGACTGTACATGCACAGAGAATTTGTCATGTTAAAAGCCCCCACATAATCACCATCCAGATCATGCATGGCATAGCACATTGATAGCACCCCGGGAAGGGCCTTCCGATACCCCTCCCAGTCATCACCAACTCCTGCTTTGCCTTCTATTATCACGATTAGTGTTGCCTGGTCTTGAATTTTATGTGAAGGGAATCCTAAGTGTGTACTTTTTTGTATCTGGCTCTTTTTTGTTCCTCATTATGTTTGCAAGATTCATCCATGTTGTTGCATGAAGCAGTGGTTCATTCTTTTTTAACGCTGTGTGGCATCTCTAATATCCATTTGATGAATATACCACAGTTTATACGTTCTAGTGTTGTTGGATATTTGGGGTTGTTCCCAGTTTCTGTCTATTACAAATAGAGCTGCTTTGAATATTTTTGTGCCTATTTTGGTCACATGTAGGTGAGTTTATGAGAGTATAAAATGGGATGGAATTTTTTGGTCATTCAGTATGCACATGTTCAACGTTAGTGCACATTACTAAACAATATTCCAAAATAGATGCACCAGTTGTTGTGTTGTATGACAGTTTTAGCTGTTCCACACTCTTACTCACTTTGGATTGTCAGAATTTTTTTTTCCATTTTTATCCTTTTGATGGGATGATTCCATTTTGTATGTCTCTGGTGATTGATGAGGTTTAGCCTCTTTTCCTAAGTTTCTTGCCATTTGGGTATCCTCTTTTGTAAAGTGCATAGTTAAGTCTTTGGATGATTTTTTTAAGTAAATTTCATCTGTCTTTTTCTTACTGTTTATAGCCCTTTTATATATTTTGGATTGAGTCTTTTTTTCAGATAAAATTTATGAAATTATCGTCTCCCACTATGTAGCCTGTGTTTTCACTTTCTCATGCTGACTTTTGATGAATAGAAATTCTTAACGTTAATTAACTCTAATATAACATTATTTTTGTTTATGGTTAGTGCTTGTTATGTTCTGTTTAAGAAATTTTTGTTTACCCTGTGGTCATCAAAATACATTTTTTGTGAAGCTGTCTTCTAGAGGCTGTGTTGTCTTATCTTAAGCATTTAGATCTGTAATCTATCTGGAATGGATTGCTGCGAATTCTGGGAGGGTAGGGGTCAACATACATTTTGGCTCATGTGAATATCCAGCACCACTGATTGAAAAGACCATAGTTTCCCCTACTGCACTGCAGCATCATCTTTTCATTAATCATGAGTGAGACTACATTTGTTTGGGTCCATGTCTAGACTCTCTATTCAAATGTTTTGGTCTATGTGACTAATATCACATTATCTCAATTACTACAGCTTTATAATAGGTTTTAATATCCAATAGTATAAGTCTTCCAATTTTAGTCTCCTTCTCAAGATTCCGTTAGTTATTGTTAGTCCTTTGTAGTTCTATATAGGTGTAGGTCACCTTTTTAATTTCTACCAAAAAAAAAAAAAATTGGGGGTGAGGATTTTGATTGATATTGCATTGAATCTGTGGTTCAATTTGAATACAACTAGCTTCTTTACAAATATTGGGCCATCTAACCCATGAACATGGTATATTCTTTGTATAATAATTCAGTTGTGACTTCGGCATTTTAGCCTGGTATCTAGTAACCTTGTTACATTTATTTATTAATTTTATTTATTTGTGGATTCTTTTTGGATTTTTAGTGTATGAATAATGGTATATTTATATCTTCCTTTCCAAAGCTTTATACTTTTCAGTATATTTTCTTGCCTTGTGTAATTGTGGTATCCTCCAATATAATGTTGAATAGATGTTGTAAAAGTGGACATACTTTTTTCTAAGGGAGAAAACATTCAGTGTTTCATTATCAATCATGATGTTTGCTATAGGATTTTATAGATTCTGTTTATCAGATTAGGGAATTTTCCTTATATTCCTCATTTGCAGAATGTTTTTTATGACCAGATGCTGAATTTTATCAATTGCTTCTTCTAGTGCATTGCTTTCTGTGAGGCCTATCTGTCTTGTGCAGCCGTTGGACCAGTACTCCAAGATAAAAATTGGGCAGACTGGAGGGCTCACCTTGATGCATTTCCTTTCCCTCCAGAATTTTTGTCCCTTGAGTACCGGCTTCTTTGGTTGCTCTTTGGTATCTTCAGATTTTTTTTTCTCTGTCTAGTTTATCTAGTTCTGTGGTTTCTAACCCCTGGGCCACAGACCAGTACGAGATTTACAGCTGCTCAAACCCCGTGTAAACAGGAACGCAAACCCTATGTAAACTGTACATGTGTACTCCTTATGGGAATCTAATGCCTGATCTGAGGTGGAGCTGAGGTGGTGATGCTAGCAGTGGGGAGCAACTGAGCAACTAATAATAATAGAGATTATTGTTAGTAGAGAGGTTTGACTGCACAGAGACCATAATAAATCAGTTGCTTGCAGACTCATATCAAAACCCTATCAGTGAGTGGCAAGTGACGATTAAGCTGCATCTGGTGGCAGGCTTTATAGTGGCAAGTGAGTTGATGCACTTGAATTGTACAGCTGCATCTGCTAGCAGGCTTTAAGTCAGAATCTGATGCTTATTTTAGTCCACGTGTGACCCACCCATTATTTTATTTACCACTTGTGTCTGCGCCTCTTTCCCTCTTTTCTCAAAAGCCACACAAGCTAACCCTAGCAAAATTGAGTAAAAAAACAAACGTCACTGGGGTGGTTCTTTGGAAAGGGGGAAAGACTCAATGATGAGACAACAGAAGACTCAAAGACTGCCAACAAAAAATGAAAGCTGCATTTAAGAGAAAATACCAAGAGTCCTACTTAAATTATGGCGTCATTGCAACAGGTGATTCACATTTTCCAAGCCTGCTTTCTAAAATATGTGGCCACCGGCTATCCATTGAAGCCATGAAACCTTCAAAGCTGCTTCACCACTTGGAGACCAGGCACCTTGCATTAAAAGATAAGCCTTTGGAGTTTTTCAAAAGAAAAAAAATGTGAACACAAAGAACAGAAGCAATTATTGAAGGCCACCACTTCATCAACTGTGTCTGCACCGAGAGCATCATTCTTAGTGGCTAATGGCATTGCTAAAGCTATGAAGCCCTTTACAATGGGTGAAGAGTTGACCCTGTCTGCTGCTAAGGACGTTTGCCGTGAACTTTTAGAAGACTCTGCCGTTCAAAAGGTGGCACGTGTTCCTCTTTCGGCTAGCACCATAACTAGACAAATTGATGAAATAGCAGAGGATATTGAGGCACAATTGTTAGAGAGGATTAATGAGTCACCTTGGTAGCAATCCAGGTTGAAGAGTCTGCTGATGTTGACAACAAAGCAACAGTGCTTGTTTTTGTGAGATATATTTTTCAGGAGGATGTGCGTGAGGATATGTTATGTGCACTTTTGTTGCCAGCCAACACCACAGCTGCAGAACTATTCAAGTCTTTGAGTGATTATATATCAGGAAAACTGAATTGGTCATTTTGTGTTGATATATGCATGGGTGGAACAGCTGCCATGACTGGACGGCTTTCTAGTTTCACTACACGGGTCAAGGAGGTCACTTCTGAACGTTGAGTCTATGGACTGTGTCATCCATAGAGAAATGCTGGCTGGCCAAAACAGTCACCTGAACTAAACAGCATTTTGCAGGATGTGACTAAAATGGTCAACCATGCTAAAGTACGCTCCCTTAACTCATTTCTGTTGCCCCAGCTCTGTGAGGAGATGGACGCAGAGCACACACGTCTGCTCTTACACACGGAAGTGAGGTGGCTTTCTAAAGGTAGATCACTGGCCAGAGTTTCTGCGTTCCGAGAGCCGCTCCAGAGATTTCTTTTAGAAAAGCAGTCACCATGGGCAGCACATTAAAGTGACACAGAATGGGTAGCAAAACTTGCTTGCTTGTGTGACATATTCAACCTGCTCAACAAACTCAGTCTGTCACTTCAGGGGAGAATGACAGCTGTGTTCAAATAAGCAGATAAATTGGCTGCATTCAAAACCAAACTGGAATTATGGGGGTTGGGGGGCAACGAGTGAACATTGGAATTTTTGACATGTTTCAAACATTAGCAGAGATTTTGAAAGAGACCAAGCCAGGGCCTTCTTTCTCCCAGCTGGTGCATGATCGCCTATCTCAGCTTTCAAAAGAGTCTGAGCCTTACTTCCCAAACACAAAAGACCCCTGAGTGGGAAGGAATGGATCCGTGACCCATTTGTGAATAAGTCAGGTGAATCGACTTGGTACTAGAAGAGGATCAACTGCTTGAGATCGCAAATGACAGCGGCCTTAGTATGTTTGAGACAACTTCAAATCTCCATACATTCTGGATTAAAGTCATGGCAGAATATCCTGAAATTGCCACAGAAGCACTGAAAACATCCATTTCCAACATCCTATCTTTGTGAAGCAGGATTTTCTACAGTGACAGCAACCAAAGCAAGATTACGTGTGGAGTAGACTGGACATGAGCAACACACTTTGGGTGTCACTGTCTCCTACACCCCCAGATGGGACTGTGTAGTTGCAGGAAAACAAGCTCAGGGCTCACACTGGTTTTGCATTATGGTAAGTTGTATAATTATTTCATTATATATTATAGTGTAATAATAATAAAAATAAAGTGCACAATAAATTTAATATGGCTGAATCATTCTGAAACCATTCCCCGCTGCTCCACGGAAAAATTATCTTCCATAAAACCTGTCCCTGGTGCCAAAAGAGTTGGGGACCGCTGATCTAGTTAATCTAGTTATTTGTTTTCTGTGGGACATTTAATGTTTTTTTGTCTCAGTTGGAGGCATACATTTATTTTATTTTCATGAAAGACAGAATAAAAGTAAAAACTTGAATATAGATAGCTGAAAATTGACATTGGACTAGCCAAGACAGTTTGCCATTTGTTATCACTTACTTAACAATTTAAGTAATTTGTCTGTGTTGTCCTTCTACAGTTTTCTTATGTTTAAGATCGAATTTGTTGCCTTTTAATATAAAAACCATTTAAATATTTTTATTTATTTTAGGTGTCGCAAATACTTACTTTATATGAGCCAACAAGAGACTTTCTAGAAAAATGTACTTTAAAATCTTAATTTTGAAAGTATTCTAGCACAGATAAAGGATTATTTTTTAATCCTTAAAGATTGAATTAAGTTTGTGAGAAAGTTTACTAGGCCACTTCTGTAAACTTTGCTCTAAGAAATTGCCAAGAAAGAAGTATTTTCATCCCAGCTCATACCAAAAATTAATTGAAATATTTTAAAAGGGTATACTCTGTTGTTAATATTAACTCAGTACCATGCCACAGATTCTTAAATTTTGATTTCAAAGCAATTTTTGTTATCTAAAGTTCCTTATTATACAAGTGATGAAAGTAATACTCAGAAATATTTAGATCTTTGAATATTTTATCACCGTTATTATGTATATTTCCCCAAGCTCATCTGTACCTGTTGGATATAAAGTTAATGCCATATTTCTTTCTATTCATGACTCTCATTTCTTGTGTGGCCACACATACACATACACATATACATTCTGCTTTCTAGTAATGTTACTTATAAAATTGCTTCCGATGTTAGCTAAAATGTATTAAGTGCTTATTATTTGCCATTAACTGTTTAAAGTGCTTTTCTTCATTTAAGTAGTTTAATTCTCTGAACATTTTCTGTTAGATACTATGATAATTCCCATTATAGATGAGGAAACTGAAGCACAAATAGATTCACTTGCCCAAGATCATATTTATTTGCTGAAGCCAAGATAAAAGTAGGTAGTATAGTTGAAAATTGCTTATCTTTAATATAAATGTAAGGATTTAGACATTTATTACAGCACAATTAGATTACAATAACTTATATTTGTCCTATTAATATCATTGCTGTCAATGTTTCCAGTTGAAACTTTGCCTCTGCAATGGAAAAATAATAACTAAAGCTTATACCATTGCCAGTCATGGTTCTAACACATTGATTGCCACACTAGAGAAAAGTAATTTTTCCTGGGGCCATGGTCTTTTATTAAAACAAAACGATCCTTTCTAATTTGTTATTTTCTATGTATAATTTGTATGCAACACAATCCACCTTTTTAGAATTAAATTGTCAATATTAATTGTAACCATAAAAACATCAACAAGTAAGATTTTCATGAACCAGCTGCAGATTTTTGCTTCAAGAGGCCCCGGGCTCAAAACTAGCCTGAGTTAAATACAACTCACATGGTAGTCAATGTGTTAAGTACTTTACTTAGAACCCTATTTGTCATAACACAGGGACCGACAGAGACATTATGTTATATGCTCAAAACCACATATCAGGTAAGTGATAGAGATGAGTTTCATGCCTATGCCATTGCTACATTGAATCAAAATGACTTACAGTATCTTTTTTTGTGTGTGTATGGTAGGAAGCAGCATCTTTCTCTTAAAAGGAACACATTCCCTGTTGGATAATCTATTTCTAACAAGACTGCGTTTTAATATCTGTTTATAAGATCTGGCATGATGTTTCCTTTTTCCTCTAATTTGTAGAATAGTTTGTACTCATAAAAATGGATTTTGGTACTGCTGGGTTAAATCATTAGTCAGAAAGACCTGTGCATGTGAGCAGCCAGCTTTGCCATTCTTGTTACTCTTTGTGTGTTATACTTGGTGTTACCTGCTGCTAGAGAAAGTTTGGTTTTTGTTTTTTTTTTTTTGAGACAGAGTCTTGCTTTGTTGCCCAGGCTAGAGTGAGTGCCATGGCGTCAGCCTAGCTCACAGCAACCTCAAACTCCTGGACTCAAGTGATCCTCCTGCCTCAGCCTCCCTAGTAACTGGGACTATAGGCATAAGCCACCATGCCTGGCTAATTTTTTCTATATATATTAGTTGGCCAATTAATTTCTTTCTATTTATAGCAGAGACGGTGTCTCGCTCTTGCTCAGGCTGGTTTCGAACTCCTGACCTCGAGCAATCCACCCGCCTCGGCCTCCCAGAGTGCTAGGATTACAGGCGTGAGCCACCAGGCCCAGCCAGAAAGCTTGGTTTTTTTAATGACTTGCTGTTATTAAAGTCTCTCCCTTCTCCCTTACAATAACTCAACTAGGGGAGAGGGATGAAAAGGAGGGGAGGGTATGATATACGAAATTCTTTATGATCAACAAAACTGTTCTTCCAGACTTCTAGAATATTTTACTCAAAATACATTTTATATTTGCCACTGCCCTCATCCTTCATTCATCTGGATTACTCCATGCCCAGATTTCTACACACTTTGAAATTCTAGAGATATGTAGGGAGTTTTCATATCCACAAATTTGCAGATCCAGATAGCTCTCCTCCTAACTGCTCAGCTGTACGAGCTTTCTCTTGTTTAATTTGTGACTCGATGCAAGTAAAAGAAAGAGTCACTGATACTTTCCTCCCTGCTTCTGATTTTTGTAAAATTTGAGCTGTATGTTCATCTTAAACTTGGAAGGAAGCACATCTTAAATATTTATTAACTTCTCTCTCCTCCTAGTGTAAGGAGTAAATAATTTTCAGGTAAAAATGAATAATTGAAGTGTAATTTCTTTTTATAACTAGATACAGTTTGGAACTTTATCAGATTATTTCGATGCACTGGATAAAGCAGCTGCAAATCAGAGAGAGAAGAGCCAGTCGATGTTTCCTGTTCTAAGTGGAGACTTTTTCACTTATGCTGACCGAGATGATCATTACTGGAGTGGCTACTTTACGTCCAGACCCTTTTACAAACGAATGGATAGAATCATAGAATCCCACCTAAGGTACATTTTCCTTTAGATAGCTACATTTATTTATTCACTTCTTTTACATTCTCATAGCTTTTTTGTAGAGTTTTGCATGATATACGTCATTTATGTAGTATTGATGATATGCTTAATGTAATTGTGAAATTTTAATGCAATCAGAAATATGTCTCCAAAGTGCAATCAAATTATTACATGGACTTTTGTTCTGGAAGGAAAAGTAGTTTATCTAATTAGATTTTCTAGGCGTTGTATTCTGCATTTTGTATTTTTCTAATTAATTTATCTATATTATTTGCATACCATATTAATATTCGGTAACACCATCATGGGTGTCTGCAAGCCAGTAATCTGATGGGCTGAATTGTTGGAAACATAGTTGAGCATCCAAGAAGCAAATAGGACTTCTCAGTAGCCAAAATGTGGGCTTTAAAGTAAACAATCTAAAATTAATGTTTTATATGTGGGAGGACTTTAGTAGCTCCATCTCCATTCTTATTTACATACTTGGAACACATTTCTGTATTTATGGTGTTCTGAAGAAGAACAAAATTTTTAAAAAAGAGACCTGATGGGGCAGACGGCGATTGGTCGAAAAAGTAAACGGGTACAAAGAAGACAGAAAAGTCAATAGAAAACATAAAAGCACTAGGTCAGCAGCACTATCCAGTCGAACTTTCAATCGCTGTCCAACAGAACTTTCTTTCTATAGTCATAGATTCTATTTCTGCACTGTTGAATATGGTAGTTGGTAGACAGGTGTCACTTTTGAGCACTTGAAATGTGACCAGTGTGACTGATGAACTGATTTTTCATCTAATTTCATTTAAGTGTTAATAGCCATGTGTGAGTGGTGGCTATCATATTGCGGAGCATGGTTCTAAGTAACTGTGTCTGTTTTTTGGTAAAGATAAAGTATTAATACCCCAGGGGCTCCCGAGACTTTTCTCTGTATGTAGCCCAGAAGAGCCACTCATTTTTGTGATGAGTCTTGCTATTAACAAAAAGTTAGATCACACCTAACTAGATCACACCCTCTTTTATTATACTAGTGGGCACTGAGTACAGTTTGGAAGAGCTTTTTATAAAAATCCTGAGTTTCCTCTACAGGTGTACTTTGGTATAGTAATGTGTGTTTTTATTATTATTACTTTTGTGCTTCTGATATTGTTTGAAAAGCCTAACCTTTGACTATTATTTTGGATAATATGCTAGAGGAATAGATCTTATTAAACTTATAATAAAATAGTGTTTATATATTAGATTGCTTATGCATTCTTGCCCAATAGAATGTCACTCAGTTATCTGTTATTTTGTTCTACGTTCTATAATAAAATGAAGTATATTCTAATAATGTACAGGTTCTTTTGGACCACTGAATTAGTGATTTTTAAGTGTCAAGTTTTTTTTTAGTGACTAAGAATTAGCAATATTGTTTTAATCTTAATTTATTGAACATGTTCAAGGCATAGTGATTACTGCTAGTAATATATTTTGAAAATTCCACTACTTTAAAATAAAACAAGGTAAAATACTATACAATAGCTGTGAATTTCCAAATGTATTAATTTATTTGAAAATAAGTTTGTTGTCAGAAAATAGTAATATGTTAGTAATATTTCACCCTCGTGCTTATTTGTAAAATGTGGAAAAAATAGAAAAGTATAAAGAAAAAAATATCTTCAAAATCCACTTTTTACCACAGTGGGATATCTGTATATGGGTATGTATTCCTTTCAAAATCAGGAATGTTTGCCATGAATATATATGAACACATATGTACAATTTACTTAACTCAAATTTATTTTCATGACATGATTTTCAGAAGGATTAGAATTTATACGTAGAGATTGTTTACTATCCTTTGATTATTTCCACAATTTAGAGGAATTCATCTTTTTTTTTTACACAAAGGTACTTCTAATATCTCCTTTTCCCTGAATCTTGATGCATTTTCAAACCACCTTGATTTTTTCTCCATTGTCTTTACCATGCTTGTCATATATAGAGCCTCCTTACACTTTTTACTTCATGAAGCCATGTCTCTTTTAAAAGAACTTTTTTAGAAACCCATCTTGAACCACATCCTCTGATGAAAAAAATTAAAGGTGGAAATCACAGCCCCCATATTCTTCTTACTCAAAAGCTATTCTTAGATTAAAATATTTATTTCTTTAAAATACATGAGAAATGATGTCCTGTTTATCATTTTCCAGTTTACATTATTAAGTTCTCTTAATCCCTCTTATTATTAAGTTCTCTTAATCTCTCTTATTCCCTCCTGTATGTTATCATTCAAAACTGAAACTAACCCTTGCCCCTGAGCTATTAGTGCGCCATCATGTTCTGTCTCTCCTTTTCTGAGTGTCCAACTAACGTGACCATGCTTTTCTCTGCCATCTCTCCTATTAATGTACACATGTGAGAGTAAGTGGCTGTATGATGATGTTCATGGTATCTGTCTATACTGCTCAAGGAGAAAAGAACAGACAGACATTTATCCTGTGCTTACTGCCATGTTCAGGTATTTTTTCACTGCGTTATACACAGATAAACCTATCTTACTGCCAACAGGTGCTGGCTTCTTTCCTGGATCATCTAGAGTAAGGGTCCCTGATATCTGTGTAGTCATGGTGTTCTTTGATGATTGAGAATTTAGATATATTATATAGATACCGTGGTCGTTTCATATGAATGTTTCTTATCAGTATCTTTTTCATAAATTGTACTAAAATTATGGATTTTGAAAAACATTAAAAAAGCGTCAATGGTTACATGTTTTAGATTGTAAACTAAAATATGTATTTTGAGATAAAAATCAATGACTGTTTTATGCAATTAGGGCTGCTGAAATTCTTTACTATCTTGCCCTGAGACGAGCTGAGAAATACAAGATAAATACATTTCTTTCATCATCACATTACAAGTCACTGATAGAAGCCAGAAGAAATCTGGGACTGTTTCAACATCATGATGCTATTGCAGGAACAGCAAAAGATTGGGTGGTTGTGGATTATGGTACAAGGTAATGTAATTATAGAAAAATCTTCTTTGAAAAAAAATCTTTTTAAATTTTGGGTCATAAGATTATATCTTTTGATGGAGTTGTTAGTGCCTATCAGACCACGTTAACAATGATATCCCTCCTAAGTATTGCTATAGCAAAATTTCTCCAATTTTTAAAGCTTTTTTTAAATTTGTTGACAACAGTCCTGGCTGCCCTAACATTTTATTGCAGTGCATTTCTGCAAATACGGTAATAAAACATTATTACTGCTGTGTAAAACTGATCCTTTTTCTCCTAAATATAATGCAGTGATTGGAGTTTTCTTCTTGACCAAGGATTTGGTATTAAACAAATCATAGTTATAATTCAGGGAGATAAAGATAATTTTCACCTCATTGTATATCAGTTTAATCTCATCCTATTTCATATGCAATTGTTCGTAGATACTTTTTCTTTTTGTTAGGGGGACATTGACAGAAAAGAATAAGCTGAGAAGCATAACCGGGAAAGAGGTGGCCCTGGAACCTTGTCCTATATGTATGATATAGGCAATTGGGAATCTAGATATTGACATCAAAACTGGACTTCAGCTCATTGAAGGGCTGTCAGATGAGTGAAGGAGTAGAAGCTCAGTTATTTCTGTGTGAAAGAATTAGAAACAATGCATACAGTCATCTAAGAATAGCAAAGGACTTTGTAAACAGTGCTTTCTAACAATGGAAAAAAGCCTTACCCTTTGTGATAGTGAGTTCTCTATCATCGTACCAGAATTTGGATGCCCATTCATTGGTATCAGTAAGGAGTTTTGATTTTTTTTTTTTTTTTTTTTTGAGACAGAGTCTCACTTTGTTGCCCAGGCTAGCTAGAGTGAGTGCCGTGGCATCAGCCTAGCTCACAGCAACCTCAAACTCCTGGGCTCCAGCAATCCTCCTGCCTCAGCCTCCCACGCCTGGCTAATTTTTTCTTTATATATTAGTTGGCCAATTAATTTCTTTCTATTTATAGTAGAGACAGGGTCTCGCTCTTGCTCAGGCTGGTTTCGAACTCCTGACCTTGAGCAACCCACCCACTTAGGCCTCCCAGAGTGCTAGGATTACAGGCATGAGACACCACACCCGGCCAACTATTTTTTTTTAAACTTGAATTTAAACAATTATGTCTTCCAAAAAATTTTTTCTATCAACAATTGTTATGCTTTGATAATATTTTAAAGTCATTTAAAATATACTGATTCTCTTAAAAATAGATTTAAGAAGTAAATATCTTTATTATAACTATTGCTGTATGAGAAAAGTATACATGGTACATAAAATCAATGTTAAAATATTGACCCACAAATTATATTACTAATTGTGGTAAATATTGATTAAATATTTAGTTACAATATTTTGAATGGCTTTCTAGAAATTAGGGGGGAAATATTCTTGAGGTTTCATTACTGGACTTCAGTCCTTAAAATATATATCTATATCTATCTATCTATCTATCTATCTATATATATATATATACACATATATATATATATTTTAAATATATATTCAAGGCAGTGTCTTAACTGTCTTCTCAGTATTCTTGTGGTAAATATATTTGGCATCCATCTATTGAGGCTGATCTGGGCTTAAAGTAGAAAACACTCATTAGATGATAATGATGTTAGTGTTTCTCCCACAGAAAGTATTTTTGAAAGTAAGTTCAGATCCTCAATTTTTCCTTTTCACCTGTCTTGGTTTGTTGAGAGTTTAAAAGAGACTGGTTAGAATCAGATCAGAGCAGAGCTCCTAAGAGGACATCTCCGTGTCCTCTCCAAGTCATTCTCCTATACTGCCTACTTGCTCTCTCTGGCTGCCATATTGAAGGAGATTTGGGTAAAGGTCATTGAGTTTTTGCTACAGAACATTTTTGTGTCTCATGACCTTTCCTGAAGGCCTGTCATCAGTTCCTCCATATGTTTTATATTGCTTTTAGCTTATATTAATAAAAAGCTCCATATGTTTGTATTGCTTTTAGCTTATAAAAAAGCTAAAAAAAAAAAAAAAAAAAAAAGCCCTCCCTGTGCTGAATTGAATTCTCTTTTAGAGAAGAAAAAACAATAAATCTCAAGCTGTATTTGGCATTTGTAAATTTGCTATGCGAGCACTTCACACTTCATTGAAAAGTCGTAAACAATTATCAAGTCATTAGCACAGATTTTAAGGAGGAAATTTTGAAACACAAGTTAGAGAATTGTCAACAAAGAGGCAACTAGTATTGGGTGTTCTCTTGTAGTTGGACTTATGACTATTGTTCATTCACATGTTGGCAGAGATGCCCCTATGAACAAGTGTGTAAGTTAGGGATTGCATTTGGCTGCAAGTGATAGCAACCTGAAACAGAATAGGATAGGATTATCCTGCTTATTTTTATGTGAGAGAAATCTGCAAGTAACTGATTTAGGTATGACAGCCCCACAATGTTATCAGGGATCCAAGCTCTTCTTTCTCCTCTGCCGTACTAGAGTAACTCTGAGAGTCATGCTCTCAACAATAGATTAAATATTTGTATAACTATAAACTGGGAAGCAAGAATATATAATGGCAAAATTGGAGGTTAATTCTGATTATGGCATGGAAAAGTAAATTAGCCTGAGATAGTGGTTGTAATGGACATTCAAGCTAGAAGTCAATAATGGGGCTTATGTGGAAAGGAAGAGGAAATGGTAATGAGGCCAAATCCAGACATGTTTTAGAATTAGACCAATTATTCCTAACTTGTATTTATGGTAGGTAGGAGAAAACTGAACAAAGGGCAAGCATGAGGGCCCTAATGTTGAAATTGTTGAATGACAGACAGATAACAAACTCCTTAAAAACAACAGCAATGACGGCAAACTAGAAAACTGTGATTCTTAAGTGATTTTTTTTCCCCTCCACTGTGTTCCATAATAATAGGATAGGTACATGATAGGAAATTTAGAGGCCCTGAGAAATCACATATTAATGAAATGTTGAAACATTTACATTTTTGCTTTACCCGGTAAGTTTCTCAAACTTACTTACTGTGTATTGTGTTGTTTTAAGCAAAACAGCTTTATACACACCGAGAAAGTGCTGTGCTGTAGGCTTTAGTGCTCATCTCAGTAGAAGGCTGCATGTGTGCCTGTAGGATGCAAACATTGATTTCTGACTTTTACTCAGTTTAATTAGGACTCTTTAATACACTGTAATGCATATAGGCTTTTAGCTGGTAGAGAACATGACTTTTATTCTGTAGGTTCAGGCTGCCTAATAAAGACAGCCATGTAGATAAAAGAAATAAACTTAGAAGGAGTGACTTATTTCCATAACTGGACTGTATTAGTTGTTATGATTTTTGTAGTCTAGGTGAGAACACTTAGTACTATCTAGGTGAACATTTGAAAATACTGAGAAATTAAATTGGATGATAGCATGAATTCAAATCCATAAGATTTTAGTATTAAAATTATAGATTTACTATGTAAATATATTTAATTTATAATATTAATCATGATCACTTGCGTCTTTGAAGGAAATTTTACTTACAGCTCTGCAAAAAAAACAAGATATTTCTAATTCTTTTACAGGTTTCTGTTGTTGTTGTTACATGACAATAAAAGTGTCTTTAAGGCCATAGATCCACAGTTGGTTTTTGTATTGGATAAAATAATATAATTGCTCTATAAACATAGTAGATTCATTCCCATGGTTGATTGAAAACACGATTAGCAAGTATTCTCTGTGGACTTGTCTAATATAAATTTACCTACGGATGCCTGGTCTCTAAAGCCTTAAAGAAAACATGATTGAATTTGAAAAAATATCTTCAAGTTCTTTTCCCATGAGTAGTAGTTATTCAGTAATAGCTGGTGATATACCAAGGTTACATTCTAGAATTGATCTTGAATCAATAGATTCATAAACAGCCTGTTGGTTCCTCAGACATAAAAATACAGTTTGAACACAGTTAATAATTTCAATGACCAAGAAAAGGAACAAGGATAGACCATCTCATTATCTAGATCTGTGAAAAACTCTCTTCCTTCTAATTCTTTTAAACAAGAACAGGAAACTAAATTCAACGTAATACCTATTTTAATTCTTGGCGAATGGCTTGTATACTGATAGAATTTTAATTTAACTTTTTATTTAAGTTAACTGCATGTTTTCTTTTGCTGTTGTTTCAACCCTTGTTAAAGTTTTCTCTAAAACAAAGTAGCAAATCATTGCTGGGGTAATCATACTGAATATTCTTATTATTTGGTACACTAATCATAAAAGTAGTTTGAATAAGTTTATATGTTTCAAGTGTGTCCAGAGAGTTTTCAGTTTTCATGAATCTTTATCAGTGATATCTTCTGAGTAACCATTTTTTTCTAAGTATATAGTTCTGGAGAAAAAAGAACCAGTTTGCTATAGATTCATGATAGATTTCACTTTGTGAATACAAGATGAAGGCAATGGTGATTTGGCCATTATTAAAGAAATTGAAAATATTGTATGCAGATTTTAAAATTACTTGTGAGACTAATAAAATTTTTGTTTTGCAGACTCTTTCATTCATTAATTGTTGTGGAAAAGATAATTGGAAGTTCTGCATTTCTTCTTATTTTGAAGGACAAACATGTGTATAACTCCTACTCTTCTGATGCCTTCCTAGATATGGTGAGGTGATCTTTTCTATATTCATAAAAATGTGTGATTCTTTTGTTCTTTTGTCAGAAAAGGGGATGAGAAGCTTAGTGAAAAGAGACATTGAAATATAATTATCTCTTTATATATTATTTGAGAGAATTTGTATTGCTTCATGTAAATTACCTGTATTTCTTTTCTGTATCAGTATTTGATTTCTAATAGGTATTTTGTTCTGACTAAATCTAAGCATGACAGGTAAAACAAGTGTATTTTTAAATATCTGAAATACGTAGGCTTTTGGAGTACTATTAAGATGATATTGCAAGACAACTGGACATTTTGCTTGACTTCATTAGAAACCCCTTGATATGTGAATTTTTTTTAAGTCCTTAATTGGTTCTTGTTGAACTTTAGAATTTGAATGATCTGGTTTCAGGATGAGGCCACTGAGTGCTATGGGTGGTGCTGACATGTGTATGAGAAGAGAGCAGGGATTGAGGAATTAGCCTCACCATGCACCTGATGGTTGGGACCTTGAAGAAATTACTGAACATCCCTGAACCATCTTTCATTTATCTGGGACGTGAGATGATAATATCTGCCTTGCCTTGAGCTGTTGTTAGGTTCAGAAGAGCTGATGAGACAGAAAGTGCTAGGAAAGGTAGAACATGCTGTTCTGCAGCAAGCAAGACAGTTGGGAAAATGGCTGATTACAACCCTCCATCCACTTCCACTTGGCAACTCAGATATTGTTAAATTGTAATTTATTTATTATTACAATCTATTATGAATGATGGGCTTTGGAATTTCACATGAACTTTGAATTTACACATCTGGAATCAGACATGCAGCTTCAACATTTTCTTATACTGATGCTTGTAGTCAAGTCATGATTGTACATTTTTTATATTAAAGTAAAACATGCAAGAAATGGACCTCCAGCGTTTAAGGATATACAACAAATGATACAAAAGTAAAGTACAAAAGCTTTTTGCAGAATTGTTTCTAGAACTCAGATTTGATTCCTAGATTATGAACTCTGTCCCTGTAACATGTTGTACTTGAAATCTAGACACATGCACACGCACACATACACACATGCACACACAGATTGTTTTGAATTTTGATGGACTTTTTGTAGCTGGAAATAGGATTTTTTTTCTATTGTGCCCTTTTCAAAATTTTCAAGGTACTATTACTTGGTTAATTTTGAAATTTAAGTTTTAAAAGTAAAGTAAAAAAAAATGTTGTTCATTTTTATAGGATTTCAACCAAAAATCACAAGATTCTCTGCCACACAAAAATGTAATACCCCTGAGTAAGGAGCCAAGGTAATTTGTAATTTCTCATAAATCTTTACCATTTTTCTGGCTTAATGTTTTAAGTTTTTATGGTTCTGGTTTTTAGTGAGCATATATTTTGAGACAATATTTCATTTAATCAATTTATTAATTTAAATACATTTTCTGAAGAAAGGGATTTTCTTCCATGACTGTTGTGTTCATTGCTAATAATTAACATAGTGCTTGGCACATTGACTGCTGAATAAACTGTTACAACATTTGTCACTGATATAAGTTATGAGATGGTAAATATATAGCTTATGATAAAAAAATTCCCTGTCTTTATAATATTGATTATTTTTAGATTATATCCTTTCTTGATCAACCATTCATTTAGTTACCTTGTTTTCAATAATCTCTGATCCTATTTTTTAAATGAAAGAAAAAACTTAATTATTATTAGAAGATCAAGTTTCCTATTATATATCATTCACTCGATAACTGTCATTTTGCTGGTCAAACTGCCTTGTTTTTTAGCACTATTGATTTATGGTTAAGTAATTTGGAAGGGCGCTCAGTGACCTTAAATCAGGTCATTTAATTGGTGGCTACCTCTGATTTATAAAGAAGTATTTTATGTTTCTATTGATAATTCTTTAACCATCATGGTATCTGTTTTTCATGACCAAATATCTATCAGTCATTATCCAGTGGACTTAGGAATGCAGTATTTTTTTAATATATGAAGGGTTTGTAATGTAACCTTTTATTGTCAAAATGGAGAAATTTAAAATTACCTCTTACAAATTATAGGATAAAAGAATATTTTTAAAGAATAATTTGTGATTTTAACTAAGTGTACTTTCTTAAAATTGTTCAAATGGAATCAAAGTATTAGAGAAAATTTACAGTTGCTAACAAAGTTGAGATTTTTGGTTAAGTGTAGACTAAAGCCTTATTTGTGTAAATTTCTTCAGTAAGCATAGACTTAAGACAAGTGCAGCTTATTCCTTGGCACAAAAACATAAGTGATTTTTAGTAATACTAAAGTTCTCAGCAATGCCACTAAAGTCTTCAGAGCTTTCAGATTGCCAGATCATAGGATGAGAGGATAATGACACTGAAAGAAATATCAATTATGAAATTACAAAATGTTTTCTTTGTCTTAAAATAAGCAACATTTTGATACGTTTGAGGTTATATGCCTGTCCCTTAAGTGTTAGGTCGCTAATAAACTGTGGCCTTCGTAAATCTATTTGGCTTTAGGGATAATCCACTCATCTATTAACTTTTTGAAAATATTTTGGTGGAGGAAGATCTTTATTTTTGCAGGTTGTAAGAATGATATATGCTTGCTGTAAGTGATTCCTACCCCATCCCTATCACCTTGGTCTCTCCTTCGGTGTATGTCGTGGGGTGGATGAGCAGGGGCTGGAGCCGTAATAAGTCAGAGGAAGAGATGTGCCCTTTGCTTTCTCTCCTTCCTTTACTGTTCCAGCCTTAGCCAGCAGTAATTGGTAATTTAGCCTCACTTACGCTAGAGGAAGACAGGAGAAAAGATATTTTTGAGCTTTAATACTGAGGGGTTTTAATTATAAACATACGTGGAATTTTTAAGGCTATTAGTAAAATGATTGCCTTTTGATATTTCTTTTTAAACTGTTTGCATTTAAATCGTGTTCGTCATCTTACTACTAGTTCTTTACAGTTCTTTACTATCAAATGCCAGTGCTATTTTTTCCATAGTTAGGTAAATTGGGAACACTTCTGATTGTCAGATTTTTATTTTTATGTTTATTATCCATTTTATACTTTAGGCCTTTTTATATTTTTGGTTTTAAAAAGCTATATTTTACTTGTTAGCCACAAGTCACTTTAGTTACTGATCTCTTGGTAAAATCAGCTAAGAATGGAGGAAGGATAGTAGCCTTTATGATGGAAGAATTTGATAGTTTTATTTAGCAGGAACTGAAAGTTAATAATTGCCCTTCTCAGTCCTTAAATTGAAAGTTTTAGAAGTGTGGCTATGAGTCTTTCTCATATTCTTCATGAGTCTTCTGTAATGCTTCAGGGCTTAGCTTTATTTTAATTATAAACATAGTTCCTGTTTGAATAACAAATTATTTATCTAAATACACAATGCATTTTCAATGGGAGAGATATCCTCCCCTGGAGAGTGAAATTGGTTCTGGAGAGATTTGAAGAAAATCTTATTCTTTTCAATGCATAAAGCACAGATACAGTACACAATAGGTAAACAGTTTATATATGGTATTAAAATTGTATGGAGGGCGATTAGGAAATAAATATCTAAAAAGAGTCCTTAGGGAGATGATAATGTAAGAAAGTTTGAGAAATACTCATCTAAACTCACAGTATTTAGGTAGTACATGTAAATGAATTTGATCATGCTATTGGCAACATAAGTTAAAGCCATACCCTAATATAATTTAGTTTATAAGTATTTAAAAAGTAGTCTATAATCTGCTGAAAGTGACCTTAGTGCATTTTGATGTGCCTAACTTAGTTCACAGAGTTATTCCAGTTAAATACTATGTGAATTTATAGCTTTTGTATAGAAAACAGGTACATTTAAGAGTGAAAATTCAGTCACCCTCAACATGTCATAAATTGTCTGCCCTTAAGTAATTCACAAATGTAAAAAGATGTGTCTACTCTCTCTACATTCATAATTTCCTAAGGAAATTGATTGTAAAGTAACTTAATACAACGATTTGTAAGATTAGGGACTTGGAAGACACTGATGATACAAGGTGAAAGTCTGAGACAGGCATAGAGAATTCAGTTTTCTTTCAGTATTCCATCTGTACCAGCAGGACAGGAATAAATATTGCCACAGCACAGCCCAGGAAGCCATGTGGTTTGACAAGTTGTAAAGGAACTTTCTATTTATGGTGGATAATTCGAAATGCCATAAAGTATATAATCAAAATTATATTGAGATAACCTGTCTATAAATCTGAAAACTTAATTTTTCAAATAGAATCTCTTTTAGTTTGAGAGTATTCAAACTAATACAAAACTTTTAACAGATTTACCTTTTAAGTACTTTTATTTTTTAGCAAGGTATTTATTGATAAGCAACCCTACATATCTCTCTCTCTCTCTCTCTCTCTCTCTCTCTCTCTCTCTCTCTCTCTGTCTGCCTCACTCTGGCTGAAAAAAAAAGGATTCACTTGAAAAGAAACCATTAACAATGTAGAGACACAAAGGAAATCAATGTTTTCTGGGTTTGGGTGACTTCAGAATATCAACTGGATATAAAGTACTTAATTCTGGAAAGGCCTTCCATCCCCCATTTCCATTTGCTTGTTGAATGGTTCTCCCTGGGTGATCTTCCAGCACCTCTAATGTAATTTTGTTTCTTTCCATGTGTGCTTTGGGATCCCAGTCTTAATGAAGAGCATTGTTCTCTTTTTAGTTATCTAGGTTCTGAAAAACCCAGAACCCACTCTGACATCTATCTTCTATTATTCCTTAAGTTTCATCAGTTGGAGAGTCTTTTTTGATGTTCATCTTCCACTCATTCCCATTACTTTCTGGTTTTAAGCCATTCTTTATGCTTTGCTTAAACCACTGCAATGGCTTCTTGCCCTTTTGTCTTCAGTTTCTCTATGCCTCTAATTGTTTATGTGCAGTTATCAGAAGAATCTGCCCAAAGCAGAGCTCTGAGAAAGTTACTTCTAATCTCAACATGCACTGCCTACTGAGGAAAGCCTGATCTCTTAGTCAAATGTTTTAGTAGTTTGTGACATACTACTGTCTACCCCAAAACTTAGTATCTTAAATATACTTTATTATATCTCTCATGGTTCGACAGAATGGTTTGGGGTCCCTCATACCACTGAAGTCAATTGGAGATTGGGACTAGAGTTCCCCAAAAGCTTGACTGGGCTGAATGTCCAAGAGGGCTCACTCACATTGCTGGAAGTCCCTGTTGACTGAGGGTTCATTTGGGCCTGTCAACTGCCAGTGTGTACGTACGCATGGCCTCCCCATGTGACTTGGGCTTCTCTAACCACGGTGGCTGGTTCCAAGAAAGGAGTATGTTAAGAGTAGGAGTCCCAAGATTCTCACTCACAATGAGAGTGAGTTTTCTGGGTGAAAGAGGTAAGTCTTCTTAGGACCTAGCTTTGGAAGTTCTAGATGGTCATTTCTACTACATTGTATCGGTCAGACAAGTCACTAAGGTTAATCAAGATTCAGGGAGAGGGGAATTCTACTCTATTTCTTGATGTAAGGAGCTTATACAGGAAGCAAAGAGATTGATGGCAGCCATCTTTGGAAACTAGCTGTCACAGTTCACCTACTCACTACCACTATTCACCTGTCTCCCATGTGCAAAATGAAATCTTCCTCCCCACAATGCTGAAAGTCTCACCTCATTATGAACACTGGCCCCAAATCTTCATCTAGATCAAATCCAAAGTGGACCATTTATATGCCTGGCAGTTGATGATGGCTTATTTCTGCTGGTATAATTATTTGAAATTAACCCCACTACATTGCAAACTCCTTGAGGGTAGGACTTATTTCTTTCATTTATTTCCACCATCGTGCTTGTGGTATTATAGTCAACATAGTAAGAATTCACTATAAAGATTTATTAGATTACATTTAAATATTGACTGAAGAGAATGTCAAGCTTCAGACACCAGATGTGCATAGAATTTGGTTCACACTGTGTGTGAAAATATGGTATCCTGGTATATATTTTCTCCACATCTTTTATCTAATATTTGGAGATTGGATACCAGGATGATTCTTAATAAACTTTAAATATTACTACAAATTAAAATAAATAATAATTCAGTCGAGCTTGGGATTTGTATAACTGCTCATTTGAGATTTTATAGTTTTAAACTATGAGACCTGAAAAATTTTAGGTTGCACTTAGCATCATTGCATTCTTATAGAATCAACTTTATTGGGGTTGCATTTTGGGGGGGGTTTTAGAATGAGTGGGTACAAAAGATATTTCCAAATAATTGAACAAGTTGACCTTATCTGACAGGTTTTACACTTCA